GCGTCTCCTGTAGGAGTGCTGCCACCAGCACCTCCAGTCGAATTAGTAGGCGCACTGCATTTAAAGTTGGGTAGACAGGTTGTACCATCCGGACAACATCCACCTTCGCTATCTTGACATTTGAATGTTCCAGTTGGGCAAGTGTTATTACTGGGTTGATTGTTGCCAGCATTCCCACTAGTATTCCCACCAGTATTCCCACCAGTATTCCCACCAGTACTTCCACCAGTACTTCCGCCACCACCACCAGTTCCAGTAACTCCATCGCCTCTTCCACATTTAGCATCAGGTAAACACGATGTGCCATCCGGACAACATCCACCATCCTTGTCTTTGCATTCAAAAGTTCCGGCTGGGCAACTAAATGTACCCGTACTGTTTGAGGGAGTGTTGGTCAATATTCTAGTCGGTACAGAGATACGAGATTCGCCAGGAATTCCATCTCTTCTTGATATCGAGCGTTGTGTGGCGGAAGAAAAGCTATTTAAAATCGCAATAGTAAGAACAGGTATCAAGATAAAGTTCCTCATGGTGGGGGGAATCTTGAATCAATCAAGAGAGAGTGAGGGAAAGAGGGGGAGGGGAACGGTGGATGTGTCGAAAAGGTTCGAACCGAGGATGGGATTTGAGAGCAAACACTTTCAACGTTTGCGTGGTCGCCGCATATTTATGGGCTGCATCGCAATAGTCGTATTGTAATTTAATAATATCTGCATAGATTCATTGTTTAATTCTATAAATACTTCCACATTCGTTGTTCCTTTCCCGATTCATGTAACAAATGAATCTGACGCTGATCACAAATCCGTAATAGGACATGAAACATCCTTGTTATTGTCCAAGTATTAAGCCACGATTGTAGCTAATCAATTTAATCACAATCCAAGTAAATGTCTGACGTTTTCGTATTGAACGACACAACTCTAATACGCTGCACACAAAGTTTATTGTTTCGGATTAAAAGGGAGGTTGATGCATTTTGTGTCAGATATTATTCTCGTTCGAGACACAAGAATTTGCTATAGAAACTAATCGAGTCCTTGTCGATTACTGCGTTTCGCTTTCTAACGGTTGAGCTCAACGTTGAATACCAAGAAAGATGGTAAATTCAGCGGCAATGGGTCAAGAGAAACTGTTAGGGGTTGGGGACAGTCATTAGTAATATTTTGTAATGGCGATTAAAAGAACTTTCATCTGTATGCTGTCGATCACTATCCGGTGTTATAGAAAGTTCTATACTAAATTAGTTGTGGCGCTTTCCCTAAAATGGGGGTAGGCTAAAGCGGAGTAGTTTATGCCACACAGCAGGTGCCACAAATTGACCAAGTGCCACAATCAGTATT